ATGCGAATGTTGTACACCTCCCCATTACAAACTTTCAAGACTATCAATGTTATAAAATGACCAACTTCTAAAAACAAATGTATAGTTGTCTTTGTAAAGAATTGCTCGCTTATATATAATGCCGAAGTCATATTTCAATGTCTTTGGAAAACAAGAAAAAACACAAAATGACTTAAGCAATTATGCTATGAGGCTAACGATATGTAGCTTTGGAGCCGCTGCTGTGACACTGTACAAACGCTTCCAGTGTGAATACTCTCGCGCGTCTGCAGCTGCAGTGACGATGTTACGCTGACGCGCTGCTCAAGTGCCGCTCACGCTTGCGGTGTGAAACCTATGTGTGAAACGGCCGTAAGGCTGCATCGAAAGGTAACTTTGCGTCTACTGCCATGTTTGATCCATAGGTATAAACAAACTGCTTCGGTGTGTCGCATAGACGCGTCATCGTCTTGCTGCTCCCTCCCCGTTCTGTGATTGGTTCCCTAAATGAGGCGAAAATTTGGTCCATGGTATCCATACCGCCTTTCAGCGTGAATAAAATCGCGCTGCGGGAAGGCAGTATGGGGAAACCCAGACTAGGATCTACCTGCGAACGTAGCCAAACTCTCCAGATTTGTCCCCAGTATAGAGGCGAGGTTGTTCATGCGCTCTGTTGCCACTAGGAGTACCTGCTCATTATCAGCTCGCTTCACTACAGAGTACCTGAGAAGAGGAAAAGCATGTGATCATGAACGTTTCCATGAAATCCTATCATGTTCATCCCACAGATTCATAGGTGTGTGACTTACTGTACTTTGGGCATGTAACACACTGCCTGATTGGCTGGAATAGTCCATGGCTGGGTCGTCCATATCAGAACAGACACACGACCCCAACTTTCTAAATCACAGACGAAGATACTGACATCAGAAATAGCAATGTAACTTTAACTCTGTGTATGTGACCTGACCTGTATAAAGCACATGGCACAGATATAGACATGATATACACACACCTGCTATCAAAGCGAGTTTGGCTGGCAGGGTGAGCAGGGGGAAAGTGATGTACAGAGCACGGCTCACGTGTTCTGGATCATACTCCAGCTCAGCTTCTGCAAGCGCAGTCCTTTACAGAGGCAGATACAGCAGAAAAATATACCATATACTGACATTAACATATAAAACCTCAAAACCAAGGCTTTCTGTTAAGCTTTATTAAATGTCTTTATGTAAGGCTGCAAACACTGAGCTTCTACTACCTGGATGATGGTGACCAGAAAACAGGCTTATAGTCCTGATAAATTAAACCCTGTACACAAAGATAGGAAGAGAAAGGGAAAGTGAGAATCTTTTCAATGACATGAGGGTAAGTACACAAATAGGTTTGGGGTCAGTAAAATGTATATATATTAAAGAAATTAATACTTTCAGCCAGCAAGGATGAACTTTTTATCATTCGACGTTTGATCAAAAGTTAATGTTAGCATTAAATAAAAATTTGCGATTTTTTTTGTTTTGAAATACTGTATTGCATGTGACGTTGCTGTGCAGTCATGAAAGCTTATCATTTTGTATGCGTTTTTAAGCATTGCCATTTAAAAACAAGTGATTTTACACTGTGGAAGCACAATAAGCAGCGAAAGAGAACTCATTTCGGTATATGTGTGCTGCTGTCCATGAAGCCGCTACTAATAGATCCCGTGAGAACTGATTATAGCAGTTATTTTTGCTGCCTTATTGGGCTTGAACAGGTCAAATACACACACTTATGTCTCAAAATGCCTGGCTTTGCAAGTATCCACTGTCATTTACGTCTTAAGTGAATGTAAACAGTTGAGTTTAGCAGTATGTTAGATCAGTGCATTCGGTCTTAAAGTGACAGCAGCCTAATAAACCTGTCACTAATGTTAATCAGCCACACCAAAAGACGGAAAATAACTCACTGCTCCTGACAGAATCACTTTTGTAACTTTAATAAGAATACATTTATATTTAATTTACACAGTGAAGACTATGCAGTGTTTTTTGTACATTGAATTACTTTATACACTATGTAGTATTTCTTATTTAATGCTTGAAGTTTTTCAGGTAGGTCCATTTCATTTGTTTCTAATGATGTTTTAGCCTATTGCTTGCAATTAGTTTCTTCGTTCTTATTTTATCACTGACTGTTTACTTGTCTTCAGTAAGCTTGTGAGTTTTTTTTTTACTTAGTTAGGTTAGTATTATAAAACATAGTATAACATAAAAACCTTATTTAAAGCTAGCAATGATATCTATATTGTTGTGATATCGTTATCGTGAAATAAAATGACTCATATCGTCATATAAGATTTTGATCACATCGCCCACCCATAATTGCAGTATTTATTATAAAGGATTTATCCGTGCACACTGCACATTATTATTATTTTTATATTCATATGTCCACATAATCTTTAATCGAAATAACTTCTCCCTCTTGCAGCGACATCTATTCTCTTCTCTGATGACGTGTTTACTGGCGTGAGGGCGAGACAACTTGTCACTCTCATGAGATCTCAGGAAAAGCAAACCACAACCATCCAACGATCCAATCAATACCCAATGGATAAAATCAAGTCCCAATCAAGTATTTCTTGAACAAAAAACTTTTCACAAGGATTTATATGTTACAATAAGAAAAGAAAATACTACTTTAGTTTTAAAATAGAAAACTTTATAAATGTAGTTTTAAATTGTATAAATATTTCACAATATTGTTTTTTTATCGAGTAAATGCAGCCAGACTTCTTTAAAAAATATTTTAAACATCTTGCACTTAACTCTTAATCTTGAATTTAACTAAACTTAAATTCATGGGGGCATGTCAAGCTGTGTTGTACAGAAAGAGCTTCTCTCACCTTGTTGTGCATCTCCAGGAAGACTTTCAGCTGGGCCGCTTCATATTTCCCATCAAAAGTGTAATAACAATTGTCCCAGTCAGCCATCACGCCCCAGCGCTGGAATGCAGCACGCTGCCGAGAGATGGCCCTCTCTGCAAACTCCCGAGCTGAACGGAGAGACAGTTTTTGATTAAGCAGAATAGCACATAAGCTTTTAATAATAAAACAAATGACTTTTTCACCAGAACATTCATTAGTGACTTCCTGACCTTTCTGTCTGATCTGTAGAGGAGTCAGCCCACTGGTTCCCAGGTCTCCCAGTGCTTTGAGCTCAATGGGCAGGCCATGGCAGTCCCAGCCGGGCACATAGTGCACCAGCCTGCCTTTCAGCACCTCGAAACGGTTCCGGATGTCTTTGAGGATCTGCAGGAGAGATCAAAACAAAGACGCTGATGGCATATTATGAAGGTCATGAGAGTGTATCTCCATTCATATAGGTTCAGGGATATTATTGTATGATGTCTTTGAAGGACAAGTGAAGGATTCAGGAACATCTACTTGTGTGACTATGAACTGACAGTAACTTACCTTATTGAGAGCGTGCCCAACATGCGGGTCCCCGTTGGCGTACGGTGGTCCATCATGAAGGCAGTACACCTTCTTAGCTTTTCTCTCTCTCTGCCATGTGTACAGCTGGTCAAAACCACATTTCTGTAGAACAACACAACAAAGTTCAAACACCAACACAAGACAAACCAGAGAGTTGTGGCTTTATAGAAGTGCAACAGATACTGTCATCTTAATCATTCAGTGTGATTTGGGAACGTAACAAAACAGAACCGCTCAGTTTTAACAGCATGTGGCAGGTCCTGGATCCGATCACTCTTACCTGCTGGATCTGGATCTCTCGCTCCAGAAGGTTTGGCCCGTTCACTTTCATGGGGAACTCAGTGCGGGGCAGCAACACAGTGTCCCGGTACCGGCCCGCTGCGTCTCCGGAGCACAGACAGCGGAGTCCCCATCGAGCCACACCGCCGAAACCTACTGCCGAACGCCGAACCAGCAGCATGAGGGACTCTGACAGGTGAGTTTCCGACCAGGGTAAGAGTTTGTTATGGGATGTGACCTCCTCCTCCGCATGGGCGGCACTCGATCTCAACCGGAATGATAGAAAAAAACGACGGAACTACGGAAGCCAGGAAGAGACATTCTCTTAACCATTCACATAAAACGAATACGGCTTTTTCTTGTTGTGACAGCGGATTTGAAACGTAAGAGGGCGTTGTAGGGTCACTAATGAGGAGCTTGAGCTTGAAGGTGGCATAGGTAGCAATAGGTTTTGTGGCCCATGTAGAATGATATAGTTTAAGCTCACACTATAGTAAGAGTAGAGTAAAAAACAGCAGAGTAAAAAAACAGCCCAGTTTTATTCAGTCATGTTCGATACACACATTTTAACACGATTTTTTAATATAAATAATTATGTATGAATAATTGAGTAAACCCTCCTGTAAACCCATTCCGTAGCTCAAACAGAGAGCAAGGTTCGATTCCCGGGGAATGTATATTATGAACTGATAAAAAAAAAATGTATACCTTGCAATGAGTTGCTTTGGATACGCATCTGCCAAATGCATAAATCATTTTAACAGCTACCTCAAAATGAGCATACATTTAAATGTATGTAATTCCGAGTTCCTTTAGTCCAGTAAATGCTCATTTTGAGGTAGCTGTTACTAACAATAGAAAATGTCTCTTATAAGTCATTAAAGAGGGACGCCGCTAAGGGGGGGGGGGGGGGGGGGGGGCGGGGGGTTAGGACGATTCTAAGGGCCCACACACTTTTAGGGGCCCCAGAGATTGATTTTATTAATTGAACGGGTGCAGTAGTACCTATTTTTTCATGGGGCCCAAAATCCCTGGCCGCCCGCACCCCTGCCTACACCACAACCTGGGGCCAGTTGCATAAACAGCTATTAAACTGTATCTTAATATCTTATTAGATCCGTGGTTAGCTAAACGTAAGCTTTTTTTGGCAATATATTTTAAACAAAACACTACAGTTTTTGTTATTCACTTGTGCTGAGTAGTGTAGGCCTACCTACTTGTTTTGTCAATGTAGCCTACTTTGTGAGTAGGGGCGAGTTCTCCTCCCCCTTTTGGAGATCTCACCTGCAGCTAAATCTAGTCATGGGCGGGTGTTTTTGACGTCACTTTGAGAATAAAAGTTTCTGTCCTGCCCCCTCACTGAGCACAGACCCTTGGTCCAGCAGTAAACTTCTCTGGAAGAAGACAACACAGGCACAGAAATGAATAAAATTTGGATATTGTGCTTTGCGGTGCTGATCATAACCATACCATTTTCAACTCAGGTAGGCACTATGATTTTGTCCCCCATTTATTTATTCTTAGGTTTTTAGAAGAGGATGGCAGATTTGTTCACTAATTGTTTACTGTGTTCATGTTTTTCATAGTTAGCCTCTATATAATTCATTACAATAATGATAGCAAAGTGCATCTACAAGTAGCTCCAAAAAGAAGTTATCACTTCTGAAGTCACACTGTAACATGTGAGCACTTTTTTCTGACTTTCTTCATGTTTGGTTTAGGTGAGCTCTGATCAGAAGTCAGGCGACACACCCTCTAATCCTTCCACAAATTCCAGTGCTGTAGGATTGGGTCCTGTGCCCACCACACTGTACATGCTGATCCCAGCAGCCACCCTGGGCTTCATCCACAGTAGATCCTGATGGATGGAGAGTGTTCGCCATAGATGACCAAAACTGAGACAGTGGCGAAATGGACAGCGTTCATCCAAAGAGCAAATTCTTCCACAATTCATAAAGATATAGCCTAACGCACAACAGCTCATTTTAAAATGGATTTTTAACTAATGAAAATGAATACATCTGCTGCCTGCAACCCCATACAGAGGGTCCTCACCCATGAACCTCTGAACCAACTGAACCTCACCCATGGGCTCTTTGTCATGTTTTGTCTCAAAGTCACTGTTTTAGGGAGGGCTCACATACTCAATGGCAACTTCTCGTGGAAGAGTTTGTTTCTCCTATACTCAATGATTGAGGTCAAGTAGGTTAAATAACTCCTTTACTTAAACCAGTAATCACTATGCATTTAAAATAACAGCCCAATTTCCATTTCTATAATGATATTGTGTACTACAAATTTTACTATATGAATATGATCAATGTAATCCATCTCAGAATGTGTCTGTACTGTATGCACAATTAAAGTGGATGATTGTATATGTCTTGTATGTCATCTTTTATTCAATTTGGTATTAATGTGTGTTCTCTTCACACAGAGTATTAGTAATGCTTTAGATTCTAGTATGTAGAGTAGAAAAAAGGAGTATAGATCGAAATGTATTAGAGAATTTAGTGTATTTGACATTTTGAAAGCACAACTTTTATTTTGAGATTTCCTCAGACAGAGATGAAGTCTCTACAGAGGATGTGATCCTCCTCCAAAAACTGGTGGGCAGGTGTTTAAACAAGTCAAACGTCAACCACTGTGAGAATAAAACTCCCCTCCTGTCCGCCATCACTGAACACAGACTCTCTTCCCCACAAAAAAACGTATCTGGAAGAAGGCGGCATAAAAATGAATAAAATATTGATATTGTGCCTTGGGATACTGATTACCTTACTTTGTTCAACTCAGGTAGGCGATATGATTTGTTCATCTCTTGCATTAGAAGTTTTTCTAGCATTTTTCCCATCTTTCTCATTTATCTTTGATCATTTTGTTAATACATTTTTAATAACCTTTGATACATTTGGTAATAATTAGTTGTATGTGCATGCAAAATGTAGATTATACTAGAAAGGTGTCACCACTTCTCTTTATAATGTGTAGAAGCAGAAGCTTGGGTCTTTTGCTGGAGTGGATTTACTTTTTACTATACTTATACACGATATAGTGTCTGTTAATTCAACAAGTGTCAATCATATTGGTTAAAAATATACCAACAACAATAATAATAATAGGCCTACCATACAAAGTGCATTTTTAAGCAGCTACTGCAAATAAACATTAATATAAACATACACTGTTACAAAAAAAAAGGGATGGATGAACTGGCTTTTTTGAAAACAAAATTATTGTTAAATATAGCAAAATCAACCTGACTAAACTTGGTTACAGCAACAAACATTATTTATAAGGTTCAGATCAGGCATAAATTGTTCTTTAAGTTAACAACTGCACATTTTTACTTTTAACAGTGTACATTAAAGTAATGTACAATAATCTGCTTGCATATTCTGACTTTTCTTTCATGTTGGTGTAGGTCAGCACTGAAAACACCACCACTGAATCAGTTTCTGATCCTCCTGTGGTCAACGCTGCAGGATTAGGTCCGTGGCCCACCGCGCTGTGCCTGCTGATCCCACCAGCCATTCTGGCCTTCATCCACAGTAGATCCTAAACTAGTTGGAGAATGTTGAGATGACCGCGATGAACAGCCAGTCACATGAAGAGCCAACTTTTCCACAATTCGTGAATATAGAAGACACACAGAAGAGAGAAAGATGCCACACCTTGTAATTGATTTTTTTTTTAAACTGGGAATTTAAAGGAAATTTGCCATTGCATACTGTACCGAGCGTCCTCCAAACCCCAACAAAACCACACAATTGGGCTCTCAGTTGTGTTTTGTCCCCATCAAGTCAGTTTTAGATAGGGCTCACTTCTCTTGTAATCTGACCACTGTAATTCATTTCCTCCACAACGTTTTTGTAATGATTGTGATGAGCTATTAATTGTAATAATTAAGAATGTGTCTATATGCACAATTAAAGTGGATGAATGTATATGTTTGCGTGTCATCTTTTATCCAAATTCATATTGTGTTTTTAAAAATGCTATAAAAGAGTTTTATTCATGCATTTAGATTCCAGTATTGCACTGATATTTTATAATTCTTTTAACAATTGTTAAAATAGTCAGTTTGATCTTTGAAACACTGTCACTTTTTGGGCCAACCTGTGTTTAAAGGAAAGAAGGGGCAAGTGTGCAAGTGTTATTTCAGTTTAAACACTATAAAGGCAGGTTACAAAACCCCCTTAGTTCCTATACTTCTTTCTCTCCATCCAGATTTAAGCATACTACTCTTCCATCTTCTATTATCTTATAAAAAAAATTCTTATAGTACACTTAAGCTAAATTAAGCAATTTTAAACAACAGTTTCTGTTACTGTATTTAAGAGAATAAGGTCACTTTTGAGATGCTGATGTCTTTTTGCCACTGATGTAATGGCATACAGTAAGTGAGAACTCACCCGAAACTCAAGCAGGGAACTTGGCTCATGTATGTTAGAAGTGTCTAAAACAGCCTATCAATGGACATTCCTAGACACACTCAAGATGTTTGGTCAATAAAAGTGAGTATTTATTCTTAGGTTTCAATTACCTTGGGCCATTTCAATTAAAGACTGTATTGTTCCTCATAACGATCCCATAGGGGCCAAAGTGATGGTAAACAGAATGACTAAGCTGTGTTGAATATTTACAGTTAACATCATACATATGGTTGCTCATAAACAAAAGAGAATGTGGGATAATTTGCAGTGTATTTGACCCCTGATTTGGTCATGTAGAGTAGATATTGAAAAAAAAAAAACAGCTATAGAGCCTTCAACGTGACTATTCTAGTGTTGATATGGTTATGTGTTCAAGGAAAACAATCTTTTACTTTTGTTCAAAAACACTAAAGTCCGATCACCACGTTCTGAAACGCTATTTCGGAGGAATCAGAACAATAAGGGTGTTTTGTCCCTGAGGTGAGAGCACAGACAAGCAGCTAAACATCATGTACCTCAACAGATCGAGATGACATGAATGAGAGCATCTGTAACCCCTCCCTCTGTCTCTCTGATATCTTTCAGTCTGTTGTGTAAACATTAAGGCAGAACACTGTTTGTGTTGACTGAAGCTATCAATAATGGGCCTTTATTCAAGTCAGAGTGTCATTACACCAGTAGTTCTGCTGTTGGCTCCTTTGACTACCTCACGAGACCCCCTGCCACATCGGCCCTATAGGTCACCTCATATTGCCCTAGGATAGGATAGTCCATCTTATTTCTTTTCTTGCAGAGATTCCCTCTTTCTCTTTTTGTATAACCTACCAATCAAAATATCGGACAAAAGGTGAAACGTTATATGGTTGATCTGTGGTTAGAGTAATTGGAAACAGAAACCCACCAATTGCCAGATTTTGTGTGGCTATACAAAAACCCACAGCAGTGGCTCATATCACCCTACAGTGATAGTCAATCTTACAATCAGAGAACGTCTCAGTTAAGGTCTGTTTACACCAAGCATAATAACTAATAACTAAAACTATAAAGTTTTCCACAAGTTTTTCCTTTACCCATATAATCTTTAAGCTAATAAGATTAAGCGTATTTGGCTTGCTGTCCGCAGTGGAGAGGCTCGAGAAAGCAGCTTCAACTCAAGCTTAGATATTAACTATGGGACTACCAATGCTTGGATGATGAGTATGGTAGCAAGATGCCTAAATTATGTTGGTAGGGTTGGGGAGGTGGAAGGATGCCAAAACAGCTGATGGCAGAGCAAGGTGAGCGGCTGTTTATATGCTCCGGCAGTTCATTGAAAGATTAGATGGGTTCACTCCTCCCGAAATTACGTTGTGAACTTCACTAATAATCACTCTGATTCTATGAGAGCTGTAATGATAACAACACAAGGAGCGATATCATTGGAATCACTTTCACAACATCTTTTTTTCCAAATGATGAACAATGAGAACATTGACAATTTAAAACTGTAATTTAAAAACAAAACAAAAAAACAATGTGTTAAATGGGTAAATCCAACAGCCTTTTTCTTCTGAATTAGCATGGCCACGCTGCTACCAAAGTCTGACAATCACTATATTGACACAAGTGGTAAAGAGAAAGCCACATGATGAACTAAAGTTCATCACAAGCAGCTTATCCACAAGCTGAGGTAAATACTAACATACTATTTCTAACATTCTATTAACAAAATAAGATGTAACAAAAAACCCTAATGTACAAAACTGATAACAGAAACTAAGAAATAATTATTTAAATGAAAAGCCATCAAATGTGAATTGTCACACAGGGAATTCTAGGAATGTCACTTTACAGCTTTTCAATGTAAATTATAAGATTTTACTTCCAAAAATGGTACAGATGTAAGGTTATCTATTTGTTTTCCCCCGTAAAATTGTAAGGGACCTTACTGTTAACAAACTAACAGGTATTTAATGTAGCATTTTTACAGATAAAATTAAATGCAAACATTTAGTGAAATTCCGTGAGCAAAAAAAGGTCCATTATCTATTCATATTTATCTATTTAATCATATTATTAGGAATGACACACGCACTGAAGTGACGTCTAGAGACATTACAACACTGATTTCATTGATGGAAGTTGTTTTTGTTTCAGCCAATTGAAACTTAGGATCTAATTTGAGACTGTTTGAGAAAAGACGTGCAAAAAAGCAGTGAGACATGGTAAAACTGTCAAAGAGAGTTGTTTAAAGTCACCATTAAATCAAAATTGACAATTCGTTTTTTTTTGTGGAATATTGCAGTATTTATTCTAAATGATTTAACTATGCACATAATGTTTTGCCCCCATAACCTTTAATCAAAATAAAGAACACGTTTTTTGGCACGAGGGAGGTACAACCTGTCACTCACATGACATCACGACAACAGCAAACCACAACAATTCAATCAATTCTAAATGGGAAAAAAAGTCCCGCCCTACATTGTTTCTGGTTTGAGAAGCGTTTTCACTCGGACATACGTCACAATATACGTCACAAAACCTTAGATAACAAAGCCAAAAAACAGTTGTGAGTTGTGAAAATGACATGATCTAGGACCTTTAGGCCTATAACAGTCTGTGCCATTATAAAGACTGTAAGTCTATCCCTCACAACCTGTGCATCCATGTAAAATTTAATATAGGGTCTACCCTGACTAATTCATGTGCGGTGGCATTACATTTACCATTGTTTGTTGAATTTTGAAGGGGCAAAATCCAGCCATTTCAATTGAAATCCATGCCATCTAGAATTTCATGTGAAGATGAAAGATTCCCACAGGCATTTTTTTACAATTGGTTCAAGTTTTTCAATTAAATTCACTGCGCTGACCAACAGAAAGCTCCTTTCTTTGAAAGTGACTTCTGTGTGAGCTATGTGTTGTGTGTGTGGTCACAGATGGTCAGTACATTTTTTCTTGTGGAATGAAATGGTTAAATGGAAATAAGTGCGGTTCTTCATTGACTAAATTAGATACACCAGCTTCCTGTGGTGCTGCTGAGTGAATCACATTAAGTTTTAACAAAATAAAGAGCACCCTTCCAGCACTAATCAAAAGATACCACTGAACAAGAATGACTGATTCCAGCTTCATCATATACACAACATTAAGCTTTGTCCAAGGATAAATCTATAATTCACATTCTTTCATTTGTGTGAAGATGTTGTTTATCAGTGTTGAATATGATTGTGATTATACAATTCAACACACTATTTAGTTCTAACTTAACCATGGTAACCTTATGTGTTCAACCTTAATGTAAGAACAGAACAAAAAAAATTCACAACACAATTTGTGATGTGATGGAGAGACAATAATTCACGGCCAGCTCCCTTTATTCAGTTAATAACCTTAGCCATAAAAAGAAATTATAAATAATGACTTCATACTCTAGACATAGCCTACTTGAAGCTCATTTTCAGTCTAAGAAAGAATTGTCATTCGTTAGAAACAGGATGTGTGCACTTTCATAGAATGGTTAAAACAGCACCACACCTGCGGTTTGCTTGCAAACTTCTGCTTTGGTTGTGGTACAAACTGAATTCAATATGGTTCTGTTGGAGACCTACAACCATTCTCTTTGAATACAAGTTGTTTTACAAGCATGCCCATATTGTCTGACTGTATAAATGAGAATTATTTTACCTTCACTCAAGTTTTTCCTAACTGATTTATTTTTATGCTTTCACAAAATCTGAAAAGTAACCACAGCTGCAGCAAAAGCTGCAATATAAGGATTTACAGAAGTCATTTAAATATCACATATAATCGAATGTCGTGAAGGTGAAAGATTCCCAAAGGCACGTTTCGCAACCAGCTCAAGTTGTTCACGCGATTTCGGCGGGTTGACCAACAGAAATTTGCTTTCTTTGAGTGAATTCTGTGTGAGATCTGGTCTATACATCGCTACACTACTGACAACAGACATTTTTTGCCAGTGAAATTTTGCCAAAATGTGACACGCGCTCTGTCACTAATCCCTGTTTCCTGATGATGATATTCCTCATTAATAAAGAAAAAAAGAACTAGCTTAAAACAGCTGTTTTTATCTCATATAGATTTAAAAAAAAAACAGCGTAGCAAAAACCATGTGTTGTGTGTATGTGAGTTTATATGTTTATAATACAATGCCATTTAATTCAAATAAATTATCACATATAATTGATTAAAATTGGAATCTTTTTCCCAAATATGGTTTACACTTTATTGTCTCCATAATGTTTGACAAATAAAATATTGTTACAAAATAAAAATGGATTTCTTGAGATATTTGCATTTTTATCTTTTATCAGCAGTAATGAATTTAATTCAGTGGCTTCACTTATGCCAATCCTGCAGAATAAATGTCGCTTGAATTTTGAGAAGCAAAGGAGAATGAATGATGCAGCCCAAAGTCCAAAATAGAGACTCATATAGTTCCAGTGTGCCGTTACATACTACAACAAACATTCTCACTTCATACTAAATTTAACTGTCAAAGGTTTCATTTCTTCCTAACTCTACTTGTTCTTTGTGTTTTGGTTATAATCCTACTGTATGTGTCCTTTCTCTGAATGATTGGTCCAGCTCTCTCTTATTTGAGTCTTCATGAAAACGGACCAATGGAAAGTTAAGTTGTTGCTCCATCCAGTGGGCTACTGTCAACAACTTCCAGTCCTGTAGTTCCTGACCAATCAGCTGCAGGCCAATGGGAAGACCTCGGGGTGAAAGGGCTGTTGGCACTGTCACAGCAGGCAAACCTGTGGAGGAAATACATATTAACAAGGATACATATGGTATAGGACTTATTTTGGCTTAGAAAAAGATCACAAGAAGATGGATGGACTTTTGATTTGTTGGTTCATTGACCCATTAAACTCAGCTGTGAGTTTGTTTATACTGCTTCAGGAGACAACCCTGCTGTACTCAGAGGTCATTTAGCTGGAGTTCACACGTCCTTGACGATTGTTGTGATCACGCAAAACTCCCTGAATTACCTCAAAACAGGTGATAAACAAACCACATCTGCACAGGTAAAACCAGATATGGACATGCAAGGACATGCAGGACCTCTATGGAATCTCACTCCATGGAGAGGAGTAATTTCTCTCTCATATCCACTTCCTGTGCATACCTGCCATGTTGACAGGCTGGGTGAAGACATCCTCCTGAGCACTGCGTGTTCGGTTGTCTTCCTGTATGAAGTCAGAGTAGCGGGCTGCATCACTCAGCGTTGTGGGTGTGAGGAGAACGTCTATGCCAGAGCGGAAGACTGTTTTAAAATCTTCAGTGATAAGACGGCGGATTTGCTGAGCCTTCACAAAGTAACGCTCATAGTTCCTGAAAAGACAGGGTATGAAATGTGAAGATTTGAAACCACTCTATGAGAGCAAAACCAAGACAAAGCTGCAAAACACACTACAGTACAGTAGGGTTGGATTGATACCAATTTTTTTTGTGTTTTTTTTAGCAAATCGATATTGCACCATGGTAAAATTTTGGAAGTGCTACTTTTTTTTTGTACTAGTACTAGCCAACCTAATGTTCTGCATATTGAAAATCTCTGTATAAGTGATTGACATTTCTCTTTTGGCACAGTTTCGTAACAAAAAAAGTGCAGGCCATGTGTTAATAAGAATAACTTCTGCAGGTAGCTAAGACTCAAATTGGGAACTAATGTACACTACTGTCCAATAGTTTGGCATCGGTAAGATTTTGAAAGAAGTCTCTTGTGCTCACCAAGACTGCATTTATTTGGTCAAAAATACAGTAAAAACTATGGAGCCTCTAAAGGGACTTGATGATTGAAATATATTTTTTCCTCCCATCTCATATTTGTTCCCCTGAGAAACTTTGCATTTACTCACAAAGAATTCAAATGTTTTGCAAGCGAACACAAATCTCTTGGGGGAACGCAAACATTAATTCATTCATTCAACACAGAGCATTGACAATTTTTCCTCTAATCTCATATTTTTTTCCATCACCATGTCCCTTTAGGGGCTCCATAAAAACAGTAATAGTGTGAAACAGTGGCGTAGGCAGAAATTGTATTTTGGGTGGGCCAGTGAAAATGTGAGTGGGCCTATAGTTTTTCATAGAAAAAAATGACTTCAGTAATAATTAACCTTAGAGAGTAGAACAATTAATAGACAAACTGCAAAAAACAGTTACACCTTTATATTCGGCAAATCATCATGTTCAACCAACAGAGCTTAATAAAGGCTGGACAAACCAGTGTAGACAATAACCTGTCTATTTTATTCAGGCTAGTCAGCAGTGCAAAGACAGTTCACCCGAAAATAAAGTAAGCTAAAATAATAATATCGCAGTTAGATGGGCGGGTAAACCCGCGTCAGGCTGACCGGGAGAGAGGGAGCAAGAAGCAGCCGCCACCAGCACCTGACTAGCCTTCTCCTGGGGTAATGAGTCTGAATAACTGGGCTGTGTGGACTCGGAAGATGAAGGCAGTGGCGTGTCTTCTTCCTCAACTCTTGCTTTTTTCAAATAGCACATTAAAGAAAGTTGTTTAGCCATTATTGTGGCGCCGACGCCGCTGTGAGTTTTCCTGTCGGAACCCCCAGCAACCATAGCAACCAATAACGTTCCGGAGAGAGGCTTTCTATAACTTGCTTTGACAGTTCCATTTTATTCGGAAAACGAATTAAACACACACAGCAGTCAACAATAAATCCGGTATATATTAATATATTTTCTTAAATACATTTGAATAAAAATAAACTAAAAATTTATTTTTATCAAACTTGCCTGGGCGGGCCAGTGAGTAATGTGGGCGGGCCAGTGCCGCCCTGGCCCAATACTGGCTACGCCCCTGGTGTGAAATATTTTTACAATTGAAAATAACTGTTCTCTGTTTTAATATATTTTCAAATGTAATTTATTCCCTGCAATGGCAAAGCTGAATTTTAAGCAGCCATTACTCCAGTCTTCAGTGTCACATGATCCTACAGAAATCATTCTAATATGATGATTTGGTGCTTAAGAAACGTTTCTTCTTATTATCAATGTTGAAAACAGTTGTGCGGTTTAATATTTTTGTGGAAACTAATACAGTTTCATTTCAGGAAACTTTGCTAAATAGAATTATTTGAAATTGAAACCTTTTGTTTCAATGTAAAAGTCTTTACTGTAATTTTTGATCAGTTTAATGCATCTTTGCTGAATAAAATTATTATGTCAGTGACAATGTAGTACCGATGCATTAGTAGAAACTAAGCAAGTGAGCAAATTTGTGCATCTTTAAATAGAGTGTGCATGAGAGGGGCTGTACAAACTATAAATAAAGTAAAAGTGTTCAACGGAATTCAGTGTTCAATTGTGGTTCTGTTTTTGAGGCCCTCACGATTTCAGAAGGAAGTAGTTCCCTGAGAGGATTCTTCTGCGGACCACATTGTTGAAGCCTTCATGTCGTGTGGTGGCGTACATGGCATCTGTGGAGCTGTCAACTGCACTGCGATGGCCTGAGGAGAAAAAGTGACAATTACAACAACAAAAAACCTTTTCAAAACTCAAATGGAGATGTAACTTTTTATTTTGTAATTGTAGCTTTAAAAATAACACCAACATTTTAAACCCACCATGTAGATCTAATTGTTATGTGATGGTTTTGAAAATGTTTAGGCTTTAAATACCGTATTCAAGCCCATCGAAACGTGCCATGTTTGATGCAACCTCACAGCAACATAGGACGTGGTAACAGACGATGGAGTGCTGTGTGTGTGGAAGAGATACTTCTTGTACCCGCGCCCCTGCCTGCTCAAACATGGCTGCGACTCGACTCCACTGGGCCAGAGTGTCCTTAGACAGGCCCGGAGCATGATACTCCTAACATCATAGAAACTCTATTAAAATATCATACAAACATAGCTGAATCTTACAATCAAATTTATTTTGAAAAAAAGAAAATGAAGACCATTGTTGCATTGTGATAGTATTATGACAGTTAAGCATATTTTGCCCCATATTCTCATTACAGTCATAAGAAATAAACATAATACAGTAAAGTCCATTTCATTATTGTATTACAGTAATCCTGCCTGGACACAATTAAGTTTTATTTAAAGCAGAATAAATTAAATTTAAATGAAATAATTACAAATGTGATAACTACTTTTAATGTACTATGCAAATTAAGTATTTTTTGACATTACAGTTACATAATAAATAGGTTCAATTAATTTACGGAAAAAAGTAATTAATACTTTATGAAAAAAGTAATTAATACTTTATAAAAAATATAATAATTAATGAAATTAAATATTAACCTAAAATTTTTAGGTTGACGTTTTTTTTTTTACTTGACAGTGAGATTCTCTCAAATGCTGCATTACATATTAAATTAATCGTTATCTAAATATAATATTTTTTGTATATGGTAAGATAATTTGTCCAACTTTACAAACAATGCTTGTTTGAATATTTGAGTTACCAGGCTAGACCCTTTTTCTGTTAACCACACCGAGCTGATGTCACCCAGTGGATGGTCTGAAGGCAGCTTTACCTTCGGTATGCCAACACATATGTCTCTAATGTCAAAGTGTTCAGGAAGGCTAGGTGGGGTGTCGGGTGCCTGGACAGTCGTTGAGTCCCTCTCATCTCGGCCCTGCAGTATCCCTGAAAAACAAAACCACCCAAAAACGTAAAGTACCAAATTTAAATCAGTGACTCTCATTTGTTAATGAACAAAAGCTCTCCTACTCAAGACAGTGGCAGCATCATGGACACTCCTGGTCATGATTCCCGGCACGTCCATTGAGTTGACCAGAGGGATGAGGCCGTGCCGAGAGAGTAGGCCGTAAGAGGGTTTCAGAGCCACGACCCCACAGAGAGAACCAGGGTTTCGTGTAGAGCCTCCTGTATCAGATCCCAAGGCTCTAAGAGAATTTTATTTTTAATGAATTCTAACAATGCATGAAACATGAACAAACGTGAAAGACGCTCAGTTGACAGGCCAGTATTGCATCGTCACAAAAGTTTAAGCCTTGACAATATTCAAGATGATGCGAAAGGGAGCTCATTTTCTCGCACGCTGTGTGAAAAGCACAAACATTCGTAGCCGAGCCCTGAAAGCCGCGTCTCAGAGAGCTCAGTTTAGTATTTGCACGCTTTCTTTCACGTCTTCTTGCACTTGAGCAGACAAATTCAAATTTGTATGTAAAATTTTTTTTTATTTAATGTTAATCACACAAAACAAAAAACAAAAAAAAAATCACTCACTGGTCTTGACTAAACTTTTGTAACTTTAATAAGGATGTTTAACTTTAATTTATACAGTGAAAACTATGCAGTGTTATTTTACATTTGCTTACTTTATTAAATTTCTGTACCTGAAAACTACTGTCAGACCTACAGTACCTGAAAAACCTGAAAAGCACAGTTTCACAGTATCTTTGTTATATTTTATTTATTTTGTGCTTTTGCTTGTAATTTGATTATTTGTTTTTATTTTACTACTAACTGTTTACTTGTCTTTAATATTAAAAAAATATATTAATTATAGCTAGTAGTTTTAGTTGTGGTATTGAAATTGGAATAGAAAATTGTGAATTTTCACTAGTATCTAATGTTTTGGTGTCATTACTGCCTGTTTTTGCAAAACCAGTTTAATGGCCAGTAAAACGTATTTATGGCTGATACATTTTCTGAAGTTACCGGCCATTGGGAGGTGAGGCAAAGAGTTAGTTTTAGGCCTATACACATTGTAAATTGTAAATGAAGAAATTATTGAATTATGTAATAATATGTTTTTGGTACACTCACTTGGTGCACGTGAACATCTATTACCTAATTAATTACATGCAGAGTATTAAAC